ATAAGTTATCCTACCCTATAATGCACCGCCCTAGTTATCCTACCCTATAATGCACCGCACTAGTAATCCTACTGTACAATACTTCTCTATAAGTTATCCTACCCTATAATGCACCGCACTAGTAATCCTACTGTACAATACTTCTCTATAAGTTATCCTACCCTATAATGCACCGCACTAGTAATCCTACTGTACAATACATCTCTATAAGTTATCCTACCCTATAATGCACCGCACTAGTAATCCTACTGTACAATACACCTTATAAGTTATCCTACCCTATAATGCACCGCACTAGTAATCCTACTGTACAATACATCTCTATAAGTTATCCTACCCTATAATGCACCGCACTAGTAATCCTACTGTACAATACATCTCTATAAGTTATCCTACCCTATAATGCACCGCACTAGTAATCCTACTGTACAATTCATCTCTATAAGTTATCCTACCCTATAATGCACCGCACTAGTAATCCTACTGTACAATACATCTCTATAAGTTATCCTACCCTATAATGCACCGCACTAGTAATCCTACTGTACAATACATCTCTATAAGTTATCCTACCCTATAATGCACCGCACTAGTAATCCTACTGTACAATACATCTCTATAAGTTATCCTACCCTATAATGCACCGCACTAGTAATCCTACTGTACAATACATCTCCTTAAGTTATCCTACCCTATAATGCACCGCACTAGTAATCCTACTGTACAATACATCTCTATAAGTTATCCTACCCTATAATGCACCGCACTAGTTATCCTACTGTACAATACATCTCCTTAAGTTACCTTCTGTAAATCTCTATAAGATCGTTTCCTATAGGTTGTTGGTTTGTTAAAGTTCGGAACGAACGGGAAAGAAGCATCGCCCATCTACAGTAATGCCACTCATCTGTTGTACAGTCCTTTAGGTTGAACACGCTAGATAATGGTTTTGTGTACACATATATCACAAACACAAATGTGTGAGATTTACAACCATTAGGGAAACCATAGATCATGTTTAATGATGCACCGATACGTGATTAACGTCGCCGTGACGTCTTATTGACGTGGCCAGTTGAGTGTCATACAACACGGCCGGCGACGAGTGACACCAGGCTTCATTGCACTGAATGAGCTTTCAACATACAATCAACACTCATCTGTACTCGCAACCCTAAACCACTTAACTCAATCTGGAAATGACAGTTTTATTTCACAGTTTATTCAAATGGCGTAAGACGAGGGTGATTGATGCTAAAGAGTCTGTCTTGCGTCACAGAATGGTGATCTGTAACCCCACTGGACCAGTGATATATGACCGCATTAGCGTTTATAACCATTCGTCAACTTCCGGTATCTGCGCGTTGGAGTGACGCGAGTGAATGACGATGGAAGGGTCGTAAAAATACTCAGGCCATACATTGTCAAGTCTCCCAATCTGATCACTATAGTAACAGCCATCAACACACTAGCGTACAGCACGTATGCATTTGCATTTGTATCATCACATTTGCTTAACGTTGTTTGTCATTTAATCACAATGCCATCATAAATAACCGTGTAATTGTCAAAGGAATAGTGTTTGACGTATAAACCCGTGAGAGTATTGTATCGACGTCGTGCATGAATCGTTGTGTCGTGATGTTTGCCAGTTCATTGTTTGACATCATGTTATTTATGTTTGATAAGTTTGACCTCACTTATTATTATCATGACGTCGTGTACAATCCTGCCAGATCATGTTTGACAACATGTTATTTATGTTTGATCTTAGCTTACATAACATTATATAGAGAATCTTTTGTGTCTTTTGATATCAAATATATCACCATGAGTTGATAAAAGTGGAAAAACGAATGACGTCATAATGGTCTGCAAAGCATTGTGATGCAATTTCCTTGCAGCGATATCTACAATGTACATGTACATCACTACCATCTACAATGTAGATATCGCTTGATCTCACCCCAGCGATATCTCATGTGGGAGCCAGTTTGGATGATAAATTGACGTTGTGTACAATCTTGCCAAATCACTGTTTTGACATCATGCAATTTATGTTTGATCTCACTTAACATTATATTGACGTTGTGTACAATCTTGCCAAATCATTGTTTTACATGACGTAATTTATGTCTGATCTCACTTAACATTATATTGACGTCGTGTACAATCTTGCCAAATCATTGTTTTACATGACGTTATTTATGAGATCTCACTTAACGTCATATTGACGTTGTGTACAATCTTGCCAAATCATTGTTTTACATGACGTAATTTATGTTTGATCTCACTTAACATTATATTGACGTCGTGTACAATCTTGCCAAATCATTGTTTTACATGACGTTATTTATCTTAGATCTCACTTAACGTCTTATTGACGTTGTGTACAATCTTGCCAAATCATTGTTTTACATGACGTTATTTATGTTAGATCTCACTTAACGTCATAGTGACGTTGTGTACAATCTTGCCAAATCATTGTTTTACATGACGAAATGTATGTTTGATCTCACTTAACGTCATAGTGACGTTGTGTACAATCTTGCCAAATCATTGTTTTACATGACGTAATTTATGTTTGATCTCACTTAACATTATATTGACGTCGTGTACAATCTTGCCAAATCATTGTTTTACATGACGTAATTTATGTTTGATCTCACTTAACATTATATTGACGTCGTGTACAATCTTGCCAAATCATTGTTTTACATGACGTAATTTATGTTTGATCTCACTTAACGTCATATTGACGTTGTGTACAATCTTGCCAAATCATTGTTTTACATGACGTAATTTATGTTTGATCTCACTTAACGTCATATTGACGTTGTGTACAATCTTGCCAAATCATTGTTTTACATGACGTAATTTATGTTTGATCTCACTTAACAGTATATGGACGTCGTGTACAATCTTGTCAGATCATCATTAAACTTATGTTTGCTACGTTTGAAGTCACTTAATATTTTAACGGCACTGCATACAATCCTGCCAGATCATTGTTTTGGCACCATGTAATTTATGTTGTACGATGATACCATGGACAAACATGTGAGAAACGTGTATCGACGTCGTGCCACTAGCATGGTTAACTCACTGGTGGACGAATGGTGTGATTATGTCGTACAATCCCATGTACAATATACTTGTTACATTGTATGGACGTCATGCAAGTGATCTCATGTAGTGTTGTGTTAATGTCATGTATACCTTGTTCTGATGTCCTGACGTCTCGACGTCTCGAGCTGTAACGAGGTTGTCTGAAGGGTACTTTAAACACCTTCTTAAAACCCTTTCGATACTGCCTTATAAAGATATATACAAATGGTCTAAGTTCTAACACCAGAAGACGCGTAATTGTAATCTGAGCCCAAATGTGCCACAATGAACGTCATAAAACATAGTACTGTTGGAAAAAGAAATAAATCGATTTTAGGCCCTCACTTGATGCAGTTAAATAAACCCCGTAATTTTCTAAATAATTTGGCCGGTGGCTTTATCAAGGCAAGCATCTGTAAAAATAACATTTACACGACGTAAAAGAAGTAACGACTGAACGACACGAACATGATAATATTGTGTTGTGACAGGTTACCAGGTGATGCGCATTGTCTCACGCTCTCATTTCACATCTTCTGTGAAAGGACACTAAAGATTTTAATACATCGGTGCAATGGTAACAATTATATATCTTCTTTGTTGTGTAAGCACAAAAATCAAAATGTTGTTATGCAATATTTCAAATACACTTCTTCTCCTATAAATGCTCATGTAATAATAACTTTGTTAATTAGATATTTATATGATTAGTACATAAAACTTTTAACGCTGACAATTAAAGGCCAAATAGGCATTTATTTCTATTTCCGACAGCACTTCAGTTACAGGTGATCATGTAACGATGTGCTGGGGTAGGTTCAAGGGGCCCGTTTCACAAAGCTTTCTCAGCTCTACGACCGTCGGTTGTGGGTTTATGTTAGTTTTTAGAATTACGAACGCTTTGTGAAACCGGACCCAGGTTAATATCGAGACAAGCTTTGCATCTACTCAGTTTTAGGGAAAGATTGCAGATCTTTTGTCAAATTGAATGATTATGTTAATGTACTGAATGACTATCGATTTTTTCAGTTTGCCAAATAGGATTGTTTCCGTGGGGTCATTGGTAAACCTTCGTAACCCTTAACAATAAAAGTGAACGATTTAGCGAGAATCATGAAAAATATTGAATATTTAAGCTGCATGCACCTCATCAGATAAAAAACTTATACAAAAGTTATACGAACGTTCAGGACATAAAAATAATAATTATAATCATAATCCTATTTGAAAATATATCAACATTACCAGACGTTGTATATTATAAGATTATATTTGCCACGATTAATCAAATATACCTGATATATCTAGTGTCATTGAACAAGGATAACAAGAGTGTTGGCACCGCCTGTTGCTCTCTGATGGTGTGAGAGCATGCCATATTGTCAAAACATTAGCCACCGTTGATGGTGCGTTGCCTCGTTACACAGCTGTGTACAACAGGCACATTAGAATGATTGTTAGGTCCGACAAACACAAGCGCCTTGTTAGGAGTAGTGTTTTTTGCGCATCAGGATAAGGTATTAAAGAAAAGTTTGTAACGAATTGTTACTGTAACCATTAAAATGCTTGTTACAGGCATGTATCAGATATATAATACTTTTTAAAAATTATTATTTTTGGTATGATAGTACGGTGGTCAATATGTCTCCAATCCCTGCATATCCGCCATCAATGATTTCAAAAGAGACGAATCCTGACCATGAAAACACATGTCAGATGAATGAAAAGGATTTGTGTGGGAAATATATCAGACATACTACTCCCATAGTATTGCATGTGGTTGTAACATGGTCGAGGCATTGACTAGCTTATTAGTAATGACAAATGTGTGCGAATTGAAAAGAGATATTTTTATATGTAACACACGAGAATTTAACAGGAATTCAGCTTACCCCTCTTTTGTCGCCAGCCGTGATATAGCCAAGTAGTGGTAGACCCAGACCCTTAGCAACTACAGACACTGCTTGGATAGTTCCACTTGTACCAAACGCCAACACAAATGAAGCTTTGGTGTTGGTGATGTACGCTCCCAATTCGGGTAAATCCTGTGGAACCAACCGATCCTTAATGTACAATGATCCGTTGATATTGTACTCGCAGCCCTGTTTAAGAAATCCCACGGTGTTTTCCAGGAGGTCGACGCTGTTGGCACAGTGGGCGGAGGTGGTAGCGTCACACACCACCACCACAGCCACTTGAGAGGCTGAGTTCCAAATTTCAGCAGAAGTATCCGTGAGAAGATTCGCGGATAGTAACATCAAGATAGCGAACATTTCATCCAGGCGTGTCACCTCGGTTGGCACCGTCCTCGCGTCGTCGTCGACGTCGTCGCTCGTGAACCGCACCCAAATGAAGAAACATCAGAGGTAGCGAGTTCAACGCCTGTAGTCATCGCTTGACAAAAGTTTATAACTCAAACAAACTTTCTTGTCAAGAGACGTCAATATGTTTTCCTAAAACCATCCTCCTTAGGCAAGGATCTTTATACAATCGTTAAGTCCCGAGCGGCGTAACACTAGTGCCGGCTGTAGTACAACTCGCTCCTCAACTGCCAATATATCCGGTTGTTGCTCATTGACGACTCGCGGCCGATGAAGGCAGCGGCCAGCCAGGCAATGTTGGAAGGATGGGAGGATTGAGCGCACTCGCATACCCAGGCTGGCGCAGAATCTTCACACGGATAGCGGGAGGCACCTGGCTCTGTGATCGATACATGTATATATCGACAGTCGTTCGGCGGTCAGACAGGGGTGGGAACTGGACGTCGATAGCCAACGACCATTCGCTTATGTGCGGGGAAGCAACTGGTTGTGGAATTGGTCGTTATTGCAATAGAATAGCTAATAAGCTGTAAATACTGGGAGAAGAAGCATGGCAACGCAGGTATTGATGTATGAACTAAATTGCAGATTCATTCAATCATCGCGTACAATACAGGCCTGATGTAAGGCACCTGTTAGGCCTGTTAGATAGAGGATTGGTTTAGTGACTGGGAACACTCTTCCAAGCCATCGTGGAATGCCCATTAGGATGTGTGGTCGATACAGCATTTAAACTTTTATCCCTTGCATAGATTCGCAAGTGGATCTGATTTGGATGCCTTCATTTAAAATATATTGATGCGTGCATTATATATATGTATTATATATGAAGTCATGGTTAAATATCACTTGATGACATCGAGAACCTGCACTATATATTCACAGTGTGATTAAGGTGTCGTGATATGCATGCCTGGCATATAAAACAACTGTTAAAAGCATAAAAAAACTAGTTATATATGTACCATCAGTATTTAACGCGGTTTTTTGTTATGTCAAGCTAAAACAAAATTCACTTTGTTCAAAATGGTGTATAACAACGACCTTGAATAGACAGATTGAAATGTGTTTTTTTTTCACATTCTCAATAAGTTGGATTGCGTTATCTGTAACCGTATAAAAAAAAGGAGCGTTAAGTTACAACAAATTATTCATTCGTTCCTTTGAATCTTGAAGTTCTCACCCATTTCCCCCCTTTTTTTAGAGACATTGCTATAAGATTTCGTGACTAGTTTCAGTTACTGAATTATTTACTTTGTAAACCGCAAATCATTACCTGGCTAAAATAAAGTCTCTGCTTAGACTCAGTAAAAGTCGAAAACTGACATTTAAAATATTTCTTACATGATAATAATCATTTCATCTGTTAATAAGTTAAACATGTTTTCATTGTTAAGCTAAAATTGAATTTGTAACCATACGTGTAGCATGATAATTCTACAGTCTTTGACGGGCATGTAGAAGTTGCAAGGTCCATGTATTCTTGATCATTCTTTTTTGACAAAACTAACGCGCACTGGTGTTAGAGAAGGTATAATAAATGAAGCGGCATGGGTTGGCCAAGCGACAGAGTAGATTGTTGGTACAAATAGAGAAATATACTCAAGTATTGTATTTTAAATCAATGCATTTTACTCGCATATATGAGATATTATATTGATGGTGCGGATCACAGCTACATTTAAATGTATATTTCATTAAAGTCGTTATCACTACACCGCCACCATGGATGATCGATACTGGTTGTTCTCTGACGTTGATATTTTGTATTTGTGCACCTCATGATCTATAGACAAGTCAAGTTAAAAGTATCTTTGAAGTAATGTATTGACCACAGGATATACGCTTGCCACCACAAGAGTGAAGGTCTTGATTTAACACGAAATTGTCATGAACATTTTATTACTTTTATTAATTCATATCATGGCGAGTCATTTTAATGTGTTGAAAAGTCCGAAGTAGCGCAGTGGACGTTTGTCAGTTCAGGAAAACTAACTGGTGTGAACTAACTGACACACGAAGGATCAGAGCGAATCTTGGATAAAGTGTCACTTGCTCGACATTTTGTAAGTCCAAATTGATAAATGGGGAAGTCTTGAAACCATATGTTAAGTGGATCTTTACTGAAGTACGAGTGTATTTTGCAATTGTCAGTTAGTTGCCAGAGTACGTCATTGTTGACGATGGTTAATTGTATGATGGTGTCCAACAGGCGGATCCCGGATTGAAATATAAACCGTCAAGGCCAGAGAATAACCAGTCTCGAATATCAACCAAAACAGATTCCACTGGGCGTAAAAGGCCAAACAAAGATGAAAATTATATCAATGGATCACTACAAATGAGTGATGACTCCAATTGTTCGCCAAAAGGTCAAGCATGTCCTGCCCCACCGGCAGCACCTGCCGCTAACACATTTTACTTTTAAAAAGTGAGTGTTTGTTGTATGACGCCGCAAACAAGTACCTCACAGTACTCTAGCTATTTATATTGTAAGGTAAATTTACTGACTCAATATACAGGCGTTGTCAAACGCATATACAGTTATGTACAGTCAATAACAATAACAACAACAAAATTACCTGCCTCACACATGCAGTCAGTATTAGTATTGCTAACAGACATAAGTCAAATGAATAGAGGCGACTAACGGGATCGGGTGGTCAGGCTCGCTGACTTGGTTGATGTATGTCATCGATCCCAATTGCTTGGATCGATGCTCATGATATCAATCACTGGATTGTCTGGTCCAGACTCGATTATTTACAGACAGCCGTCATATAGCTGGAATATTGCTGAGTGCGGCGTTCAACAAACAAACAAACAAATTCAAAAGATATGTAAATATTCATAACTAAGAACGAGACAAACCCCCGAGCTCACTGCCCACGCTCTGTCTATAATTAGAGTGCTAGCCAACTTGTGAATGGTATAGGTTTCCATTATGCAACAAAAAAAAGAAGGCCACATTAGGGTTCATCCGATATATAACTTGTCTACCTTTGAATGTATTACAAATCTGACCATGATAGAAGTTTTTAAAATCAATTTTAAAGTTTCGAACTACACATGTATCAATGCGACATTATGTGAAATAGGAGGTCTTATAACCTCATGAGCATATATTTGACCTTTTTACCTATATCGTTGTGCATGTATGTCACTACAGTGCAGAAAGTACATTTTAGTCACAACCAAGGCATTTATTGATGCATCTAATGCGGCAGTTCAAAATCAGTTCACATCTGATCGACTCTGTGGTACTCAACGGTTATTAGACATTACTACTTTGTGAGTGATGACTGATGAGCGTTTTGATGGATTACAATAATTTTGATAGAATGGTTGATGAATTATTCACAATGTAAATGATTGTAGTTATGATTTACTGGCGTGGATGAACCTACTTGTACATCGACCTGGGCCCATTTCCTCTCGGGGTAGAGTCGACTTGGCATTGTTGAAACACGTCCAAATTCATGGCCTTTAGCAGAGTCTACTTTGTATGGAGGGAGCTAGTTCAACACTAAAGCCTCATAATTAACATGGGGTCGTTGTGTTGTTGGTTGCTGTCACGGGGTGGTCATAATGAACATGGGGTCGTTTTGTTGTTGGTTCCTTTCACGAGGTGGTCATAATGAACATGGGGTCGTTTTGTTGTTGGTTCCTGTCACGGGGTGGTCATAATGAACATGGGGTCGTTTTGTTGTTGGTTCCTTTCACGAGGTGGTCATAATTAACATGGGGTCGTTTTGTTGTTGGTTCCTTTCACAGGGCGGTAAAAATTAACATGGGTTCGTTTGACGCCGCAAACAAGTACCTCACAGTACTCTAGCTATTTATATTGTAAGGTAAATTTACTGACTCAATATACAGGCGTTGTCAAACGCATATACAGTTATGTACAGTCAATAACAATAACAACAACAAAATTACCTGCCTCACACATGCAGTCAGTATTAGTATTGCTAACAGACATAAGTCAAATGAATAGAGGCGACTAACGGGATCGGGTGGTCAGGCTCGCTGACTTGGTTGATGTATGTCATCGATCCCAATTGCTTGGATCGATGCTCATGATATCAATCACTGGATTGTCTGGTCCAGACTCGAGGTGGTCATAATTAACATGGGGTCGTTTTGTTGTTGGTTCCTTTCACAGGGCGGTAAAAATTAACATGGGTTCGTTTTGTTGGGGGGGGGGGGGGGGGGGGGGGGGGGGGGGCACTTGAGATAGTCTTTGTTTTATTTGGTACCTTATAGTTTGTTGCGAGGAATCATGTTCACATGGGACAGTCTCTGTTGTGAACTACTTTTTACCTTCTTTGGGGTATACAATGTACAAGCGTTAATCTTTGTGAACTGGCTACCATCCACTCTCCGCGGTGAATCATTTACACATCGGATAGTCGTGCATGTTCCCTCAGTACCATCTATATTTTTAACCCACACAAATATAAGTGTTGAAATTGTCGCACTTGAAAAAACGTTGCCATAGTCAATATAGCCGTTCGTTGGTGTTTATCTTTCCTTTTCCTTGCTATATCCTGATAGTTAATCAGTACTGACGTTTAATGCGATAGTAATTATTTTTGGGAGAATAAGTTACAAGCAACTCAGAATAACCGATTATCTGTCTCGTTCACAAACTCTTTACAAACAATGATAAAAATGGAACAGCTGTCATTATGCTCACTGAGAATTATTCAAGCTAATTTCACCTAAATCCGCGCCATTATTGGTAATAGTATTCAGTAAAACCTTTGTTCTGAACAATTTGAGCCCGCCCCATTCCGTACTCTATATCATGGGGTAGCTTCACACACTTTGCATTAGGAACAATGCAAATAAATGGAACACACAGTCTATACATGAAACACGTGGCACCATTTAGAATCAAGTAAATACCTTTTTATACATTAACGACAGCTGTGGTGAAAGCTACCAATTGACATACTCTAGCTGTTATTGCCTGGCCACTGATTTATTGATGTGTAAACTAATGTACACACATACACTCCGTCACCTAAAACAGAGTTAGCTGATATACGATGACCTTGTGATACAATCCATTAATATAAACGTTATTATTTATCTAAATGAACCAATTTTGGATATGCTGAAGTGACACATTGTGTTCTTATCTCCAGTGACAATTACGGCTTCCCTACTTATACCATACGTTCCCGTGTTTGTTCAGGTGAACACTTGCTTTGCCTATGCATGTGTCTGTGACCCGTGCACCGGCGGGGCAGGATACCTTTTCACAAGCACCTGGTAACATCAGTAATTGATTTTGAATCATAGACACATGAATAACCTCATGAATATGGAAACGGTTTTGTCGCTTTTATTTACTGCATAGTAGTCGCCATTGATTCAGGATCAAACTGATGCATGATCTAGATGCTTCATTTTCAAAGA